TCTCCTGTGTTTGTAGGAAAGTAATGTCCGAAACACGTGTGTGCCTCTAGGTGGATATCTGTTTTGGAAACTTAATTAGAATACATGCCACAATCAGTTTGATGTGGAAACAGTACACTTAAATGCCTGGCAGCATCTATCTGCCCCCTAGATAAACAATACTTTTTAGTTGTTACTATATGTATTAGGATATGATATATAATAATAACTAAAGATTATTGCTGATTGGAGAAAACTGAGTGCAAATGAAGAGACCTGGGTATTCATTCCTACTGAGGTGGAATCTGCTCCCTAACGACAGTATGACTACATTCACGCAAGATAACTTTCACCTTTCCCACAATGGTTGTTTAAAACCTACACTTTTTTTTCATATCCCTTAGCTCTATCACACTTTGATAAGGACTTGTGAGATCCTATGATATCCTCTTTTTCTCCAATATTTAGCTAATCCTGCATTTAATCTTTCCTTTGGACTTCCCCTTATCTTAAAATTTAATCTGTTTATTCATGGGAATGTTAAATGGAATGTCTAAATATAATCATTTTTGAAAACTACTTAATATTATTCAGTAAAGTTGAAGATGCACATACTCTGAGACCCTTATGCACCTATCCTGGAGAAACTGCAGCAGGGTGCACATGCAAAACTGCTCAGAGCAACAGTGTTTAAAGAGCACAAAATTGGAAATGACCCAAACCTCTATCAAGAGGAGACTGGATAAATAAATTGTGGTATATTCACGCAATACAAGACCACAAAGCACTGAATATAAATGAATTTCATGCATGTCACTTCATGCATCAGTGGAGATGAATCTTATTTAAAAACGCTGATTGAAAAAAGCAAATGGTACAAGAATATGATTTATATATAGCCCCAAGTCAAACAGAACTTAATAATAGATTGCTTAGGGAAATATACTTACACAGAAAATCCAGGAAATGACAAATACAAAATTCAGAACAGTAGTTCCTTTTGAGGGAGAGGGTATGGCCACGGAGGAATATGTAGGGGCTGCTTCCAAGATACTAGTGAGATTCTGGTTCTTTAGCTGCAGAATGGGTGTGGACAGGGGTTATATTTTTCTTCCTCCATTACCTTCTGTGTGTGTGTATATAGATAGATATACATATATCTCTATCAACATATACATACACATACGTTTCTGACATACACGCTCCTTTGTGTGCATATATATTCTTCTGTATACATTATCATTATTATTTTTCATGTTACCCTGAGCCCTGGGCCCACCTCGGCCTCTCCCTGCCAGCACTCTGACCCTCTGCGGAGGCCTCAGCTCGAACTCTTGTTTTAGACCAAGTACTTGCTCCATCCAACTCCCTGATCCAGTCAAACATGATGACCACTGAAAACCCAACATGATGTCCTTTGTTCTCTACATGGACTCACCAGGAGCATGTATCCAGACCTCCACTGATGGGTGGCCAACTGTGTGTGACATCTCTCACAAGGTGGTGCCAACTGTGTTGCAAGAGGGCCTGATATGCCACTCTGAATGCAACAGCCATTGGCTAAATTATACCAAGGAGCTATAGGCAGCGATGCTGGCCTGGATCTCTCACACTGACCCAACTGCAGGGTCTCCACGTTGGCCATCTGCTCCATTGAATTACTGTTCTCCAGCCTGACTTCCCCAAACCACCCCTTCCTCGTTCCTTTAAAATAATCTCAGGTGGCCCTGGCCAGTGTGGCTCAGCTGGTTGGAGCACTGTCCTGGAACCTAAAAGTTATGGGTTTGATTTCTGGTCAGAGCAGACATCCAGGCTGTGGGTTTGATCCCCAGTCCTAGCACATATGGGAGGCAACCAGTCAATGTTTCTCCTTCACATCGATGTTTCTCTCCCTTCCTCTCCCTCTAAAAAAAGCAACGAAAAAAATGTCATTGGGTGAGGATAAAATAATAATAATAATAACAATAATAGTAGTAGTAGTAATAATCTCAGGTCCACCCATCTCTCAGACACCCAGGCTCCCAATCTTACCATAATTCTTCATCTTTTTTTTAATTTCCTCTTTTAAGAGTAAGCTCTGAGATTATTTTTCTGCTCTAACCTCAGTTAGATTCCCTCAGGAATCCCTGAACGTGGTACCATAGGCTTAATTGAGACAAAATAAGAACTCTTACAGATTTATTCTATTTCAGGACTGTTTATTCTAAAAGCTTCTCCTATTTCTTACTCAAAAATTAAAAATGATAAAGAAATTACTTCAAAAGCAAATGAATTTGGCAAATAGTTTTGTTTTTTATTTTTACTTCAGTTTTTCTCCCACAACTGACTAGTTATAGAAAAAATACATAGATTGTAACTACTGTCCTGGAGATGTGAGTCAAGGTAATTAGATTTTCTTCAAAAAATGTTTCATACTATCTGTACTACAAACTGGAAACAGAATAGCACATCTCCATTTTCACTTTAATGAGCTTATTTTCATTTGATTACAGAAGACATACTAAAGAATGGGTATGAAAGAAAGTCATAAGAAAAGTAAGGGAAGTGTATGCAAAAAGGTGATAGGATGCCGCGGGGCAACTCCACACTCAGCCCCAGGTGAGGAGCATGGTGCTGTGTTACAGCCAGGGGGCCAGGCTAAGTCAGTAACTTCAACCTGGGAGTCTAAATTCAGCCATAAACAAGGGAACTGAAAGACAAGTCTGAAATACCAGGCCAGTGAAGATGATGCCAAAGTGAGAGGTGACAAGAACCTGACTCAGGGATCTAATTGTGGGAAAAGGGAAAAAGAAAAAAGGAGGGCCTTTGGGGAAAAGCAAGTCGGCCTTCAATTTGGATGAAGAGAGCTCTCGATGGTCAGGGGATCAATTGACATAGTGACATAAGAGGAAATGCAAAAATCCATCAATCTGTCAACCATCTCAAATCTAAACCAAGATACAGCAATGGGCGTTCATGGGTTAAAGCATCAGGTGTAATGACGGCTGCCTAAAATTTACATATAAATAGGCCTACGGCATGCACTGCTTTGGGCTTTATGCCCTTCAAAAGAAAATAAAAAACAATTTCCGACAAAAAACCAGTGCTTTTAATCATTATGTCCACACAAAAATCTGCACATGGATGTATATAGCAGCTTTATTCATAATTGCCAAAATTTGAAAGCAATCAAGTTTTGTTGAATAGAGCTAAATGGATAAATGAACTGTGGGACATCCAGACAATGGAATATTATTCATCACTAAAAAGAAATGGGCTATCAAGCCACAAAAAGGCATGGAGGAATCTTAAATGCATATAACCAAGTGAAGGAAGCCAGTCTGAAAAGGCTATATGCCGTATGATCCGAAATACATTCTGGAAAAGGTAAAGCTATAGAGACAGTAAAAAGATCATTGGTTGCCAGAGATTAGGATGAGAGAAGAATGAATGGCTGGAACACAGATTTTTAGGGCAGTGAAAATAACTCTGTACGATATTCTAATGGTATATACATGTCATTATACATTTATTCAAACCCATAGTGTTCAACTTTAGGAATAACCCTAATGTAAACTATGGACTTTAGGTGATAATAGTGTGTCAATGTGGGTTCATCACTTGTAATAAATGTAACACTCATGCTGAAGGTTGATAGTGGGGGAGACTGTGCATATGTGGGGGAGGGGGTATATGGGAAATCTTAGTACCTTCTCCACAATTTTGCTGTGAACCTAAAACTGCTCTAAAACTTAAAGCTTATTTTAAAAAAAAGATTTGAAAACAAAAAAACAAAAAGTGCTTTTTCTTGCCCTGACAAATCTGGGTCAATTGGTTCTGAAGAGATCATTTCTGAAGCTTTTTACTTCAAAGTACATTATATCACGTCCTATTATTGTTTCTGTTGTTATATTTACTACCTAGAAAACACAAAAGCCTAATTATATTTTCCTCTCAGCCACTGAAAAAACTGAATAATAAAAAAGTTATTTGATTGGCTAGTAGCCAATATTTATTAACACAAATATAAGAAAATACAGTAAATATTAGGATAACTGTCAAAGTTTTTTTTCTACCAGTTCTTGGGTTATACATGAAAGAAGCTCTCCTGATATTTTGCCAGTGAAGCCTCCCCCACACCTGAAACTTCACACGGATCACTGTGACAACTTCTAAACTTCACGAATAGGTTTTATAAGTTATTTCATTTTCAATACCTAAAGGGTATTTAAACTTTTTCCCATTATGAAATTTACTTTTCTTTTTTGAGAGAAAGGGCAGACAGAGAAAGAGAGAGAAACACAACAATGTCAGAGAGGAACATTAATCAGTTGCCTCTCATACACACACTGACCAGGGACGGAATCTGCAACTGAGACATGTGCCCCGACCGGGAATTGAACAGGGACCTTTCAGTCACAGGACAATGTTCCAACCACTGAATCACAGCTGCAAGGGCTCCTATTTACTTTTTCACAATAAGCAGCACCTTGATGCATGAATCAAAAACTCTTTTTTCCCCTCATTTGATAACAGTATAATAGGCAAAGTGGCGGTTACTTTGTTTTTTAAATTACTATTTCCCCGAACCCCAGTCTGGGAGGACTACTTTTCAGAATATTCTTCTCACATAAATCCTCCCCGAACATAAAGATTTTGTTTGTTTGTTAAAAATAATATTGTGGAAAGGAATCTTTCCCTGCCCATCCTTCTACCCTAAGTATAAATCTACTCCATCTCATACCTGAAAGTTATCCAATCCTTGGTCAATACTGACCAGAGAAAGGGGGTACAACAAATAGAAGTTGCTAAGTTATCACTATGTCCTCTCTTCAGCATCTTTTCATCTACCTCCTATTTGGGATTCTCTTAGATGGGTTTCACAGCACCCTGTACCCACTTCACATACTCCCCTCAACTGCAAGTTTACACTCGGTGACTATCCGCTTGTCCTGATAGAACATTGTCCTGACGGCCAACATCACACGGCTCTTCAGTGGCACAGTCAGGATTTACTCGAGCCCCTGATCAGGGACACTTACTCTTTCTACCGGCTCACACTGCCTCCTGATCGACCTTCAAACCGTCTCACTTGCTCTTGGTAGTCTTGTCTGGAAGGACTCTGCAAATGAATAAATCATCATTTCATCCCTTCTGTTAACATATATGATCCACACAGCATGTCACTTCCTTTCCTTTCCTTTACACTCTGACTATATTCAGTAGTGACACGTTTCACAACTTAATGAATGCCCCCACTCCTTTCCTGAGAAGCAGCCGTATTCACCCAACAGCTGGAATCATACAGTATGCAGCCTTTTCAGTTCTCTTCATAGACCACACATAACCCACAAAGGAGGATGAATCTTCAGTAGAGGTGAACGCTTAAAACAAAGATTAGGACACCATGCCTGAACATGGGTTCTAGTCCCTCCTTAAAAAATCACTCACAGGCTAATACCCAGTGTACTATAGGAAGTGGGGCTCAGGCTCAAAACCCACTGACATCAATGAGAACAACCGGGTACCTCTGCGGTGCCCTCGTCTCAGGGTATTTTCACAGGACTGTTGGAGTGACAGATTGTGGGCACAGAACACCTGGATGCCAGCAAAGCATCTGATGGCCACTCAAAGCATAGATGATCAAGACAGGGGATCCTGGGGCAAGTGACAATTCAGTTTGGTGAACTCAGAGTTGACTGAATGACCACACCCAAGAGGGGCAACATCGACCTGGAGGGAGGTCCTTGCACAGCAGGACTGTCCGTCCTTGGTTGATGTTTTCATCAGGATGTGCTTATGTGCTTATAGAAACCACAAATAATTCACAGCTGAAAGGGGATAGTTAATGAATTGGAAGAAAGAATAGAAATTGTAAAAGCTTTCAACAGGCTGGAATGAGTGCCAAAACTGACTAAAACAACAACAAAAGAATCCACCTCAAACTAATAGAGATAAAAGCTTGCTTTTGATTGTAAAAAATCATACATATCATCACCTGCTCTATACCTTCCAGTCCGCTCAGCTCAGACAACTCACCCCTGGTCACAAGCTGAGTCAGTGACTCTGGCCCCAGGCTCTGTGTGGGTGGGGCTCCAGGCCACTGACCCACTGCAACTGAGACTCTCCTTACTGTTATCACTCTGACTCCGGACCTGGGGTTTTTACTCTTTGGACTCAAGCTTCTGTCTTGAGCCCCACCCCCACTTCAGCAGTTGGCTCTGGTAACTTGTTTCTCCGGACCCAGCTCTTTCCCTCTGCTTCCTGGCCGGAGCCTTGCTCCTGCACACCAGCACTCCTCTCCTCTGGCCCCTTGACCTGCTCAGCCAGACAATGCTGCTCCTAAACATCTGTCCTTCGAGACTGCCACCTAGGGAAGAACTTCCCCAGTCCTATGCCTTGACAAATTGTCCTCACTGCCGCCTATTTACTGCCAGCAGCTGGTACTGTCTCCCTGAGCATGACCCAGCCTGTGGACCTGCCTGCTCTCTGGATTCCCGTCTGGACTGTCTGTATTCTGGATCCCAAGCTGATCCCATCCTGCTACTGACAGAAGCCTGCTCTTCTACGTGGCAGGAGCAAAGGAGAAATGTTTAAAAACAATTCATATTTTAAAGTCTTATGCATTTTTATTGAACACAAGTTCAATGCAAGCTGAAGGTATGACGAAGAGGCTAAATGGGAGATGTAATCTTGGTCTGCATTAGTATAGCATAAATACATGCAGACCAAGATTAATAAATACAACAATAAATCTCTGTTGTTTCAAGACACCAAGTTTATGTCATTTGTTATGGCAGCCACAACAAATTAATCCAGAAGGTTTTCTGCTTAAATACGATTTTGCTGTGGGCTAAAAATGGGTAGTATTAACCTTCTTTAAGAAAAAAGCTTGACTTTTCATGTATTTTTATTGCTTTTTCCATATCAGTCCCGGAAAAGTGCAGCTCTGCTTTTAAAAGTGTTTAGGGGCAGGGACAAAAGCATCTTTTAAGCCAGTCTTCATACATATTTTACTAATAATCTCTCTTTTACATAAGACTTAAGCAGACAATAAGTCTATGCTGGGCAGACAACCAAATGATCCCAGCCTCTACCCAGCAGGCCTGGCGGCAGGGAAACAAATTATGCAGCATCTCACGGCTACAGGAGAAAGGCTACAGAGTTGTGGAAACTAGTCTTGATTCTCTAGTGTAATGAGGGCAGCCTTTCTCCTCAGCTCTCCTGGCAACATCCGTCCTGTTCTCATCCTGCAGAATGATGAATGCTACTGAGATGAGGAATACAATACAATCATCCCTGAGCCTAGGGACCGGCCGTGGAAAGACAATAAATATCCAACAGGCCACCCCGGACTCCTACTGCTGCCAAATACCATCCCTGGAAGTCATTCTAATGCTGTCACCTAGGGGACAACCTGGTAAAACCAGGTCAGGTTTAAACAGATTGTTCCTGTTTTAAGTTTTCTAATTTCTTCTTAATGAAAACATCCTTACTATCTTTAAAACCACAAATAAGGGAGAAAGTTTTTAAATTCAGTGAAGAGAAAATGGAAAATGCATATGAAGTTACCAGTTAAATACATGAGACTAATGATGAGTATTTGTCTTCTGCTCTGCTGAGCTTCAGGACAAGGGAACATCCACTGTGGAGTGGAAAGAGAAGCGTGGGCCAAGTCCCAGGCCTACGTTTGAATCTTGCCACTTCCTAGATATATGTTTTTGGGCAAATCATTTCACTTCTGTTGAGCTTTACCTTCGTCACTTGCAACTGAATAAGATAACATATGGACTAGACCAGCGGTTAGCCCACAGGTGTTCGTTAAAGTTCAAGAGACAAATGAATTAACTGTTTTGTATCCTGGACTAGACAAGCACCCCAATTTTTCAACTCTTTCCTTAAATTACAATGTAAATACTGTTATCTGAAGCTGTTTCAACAGTCATAAATATCCTCCTGAGTTTATAATGTCTAGGAAGAGATATCATTTATTATCTTGGATATTTGAATTGGCAGAAGGCATGTTTTTTCTTCTTAGACAGCAGCACTTAGTTTTATACTCTAGAGGTTATGTAAAAGAAAGTTGGTCAGTTATTATGGGTGATGCATAACAATTATTTTTGGTCCAGGGCTAAAAATGTTTGCTCTTCAGTCTAAAACAGGATTCTAAGCAAGTCCCTCCTTCCTAAACACCAACCTCCACCCCTACACAACCCAAAGCCATTCCCTTTCCTGATCTCCAGTCACCAAGAAAGCAGGCTACGTGAAGCCTGGGCTTTACTCAATGATTACTCAGTGATACAGAGGCTGGTCTTTCTTGATGCCTGATTGCCAGAGGAACGGGGCTGTGTGTGAGGATGGGGCGGGGGAAGGGAAAATGGAAGCTAACTTGGCATCCCATAGGCCCTGGGGCTGGCAGCCCTATGCATGCACATCAGAGAGGGCCTCAGGGCCCGCTGCCCATGGGAGCTGCCTTCTCCAGCCCCCACAGGCACCTGGTGAGCCCTCCCCTGGCCCCCATCAGGAAACAATGGCTTCTACAGATGGCAGGGAGTTCGGCTTATCCTGCTCTTCTCTTCCTCCCCTTACTCTCTCGTCTGCCTCCGAAGCCCACTCAGCACACACAATGAGATGGTGTCGCACACACCTCTGCCCCAGTCCCACCCAGACACAGCCCCATGTCTTCCCAGCGATCAGCACTCTCAAGCCTTTGGACACAGGTAAGCACTGCTGGCCTTCTGATCCCTGGAAATTCTATTCCTTCCCACTAAAGAAAAATTTTGTATGAATTAATTTTTCCACTTCTCAACCAGCTGTGTAGGAATCACGTATCCATTGCTTGAAAGCTTGGTTCCACACACAGTTTCAAAACCCTCAACTGTTTAAAATCAGACTTCATCTTCACAAGACTATAGACCCCCAGTAAGAATCCAAGATATTTTCATCTTTTCTCTTGGGACTTACAAAAAAAAAATATTGAAAAATGGAGCAACTTCTAAATACATTCTACATTTAGAGACTGAGACATTTCAAGGAATTTGCTGAAAAAGGAATAACTCCACACAGGAGGTGATTTTTCTATTGCTTTTCTTTTTGAATTTTTTTTGGGGGGAGGCCTCTGTGTCCATCAAATAGATAATAGTGTCTGTGGCCATATTTGTGGCCTGAAGGTAACTATCTAAATCCTGCAAGCAGTTGGAATAGCAACTCAGGAATTCTTGGTCTCACCAAAACTACAGAAATGACAGGGGCCTCTCTCAAAGCAGGTGCCTAAATACTTTTAATCATGTTAGACAAAGGCCGTGCAGAATGCACGAAAACCACACCTCTCTCTTCAGCCCTTTGAGAATAGTTATGACCAAAGTAGATGTTATTTTAATCAAATCCATTTAAATGATGATTTAAATTACTAAATAAGATGATTCAATTTAATCAGTTTTACTTAAAAAATACATTTTTGTTTCTCTGACATAACCTGATTACATATTCTTTAAAATTTAGTTGAGTACAAGTTTCACTTTCAGGAGGTACATTTTCTGTATTTAAATCTAATTTAAGAAAACCATTCTCAGAAGTGTATTCCTCAATTCTAGAAGATTCTAGAATTCTAGAAGATTCTGCACAAAAAAAAGTTTTAATATTTCCCTTGTGGTCTTACTACCCTTCCCTTCCTCTTTTATTTTCATATTCTCTTTGCTTGCCCAAATTCCTTCATTTTTAACAATTATCTATTTATTTATCTGCTTAAAACTTTGTTTTTTTGGAGAGAAAACCAGGGAATGATTGTCTTATTTTCATTTAGTGCTATTAACAAGCATGGTTTCCACAGATAAAACACAGATGGAGAAGAAAAACATGATTTCTGGCATAGACAATATTTTTTACTTTGCCCCCTACCAAAGTGGCTTTCATTGGCTCTCCTTACCCCTTAATCTGGTCATGTGCCATTTGTTCATACCGGAAGTCAACCTTTTAGGAGGGCACACTGGAAGTCAGGCACTAGACTTAGCACACGTAAGGATTCAGACCTAACAAAGCTTACACGTCAACAGAGAACACAAATAGTACACAGTTATTGTACAAATAACTATACAACAACGACAGCTTTGAAAAAGTATGAGG